ATACCCCTCATATATACCCTCATACCTCACTGTATACCCCTCATATATACCTCACTGTATACCCCCCATATATACCTCACACCTCACTGTATACCCATATATACCTCACATATATACCTACACTCACTGTATACCCCACATATATACCTCACTGTATACCCCTCATATATACCTCACTGTATACCCCACTACATACACCTCACTGTATACCCCCATATATACCTACACCTCACTGTATACCCCCCATATATACCTCACACCTCACTGTATACCCCCTCATATATACCTCACTGTATACCCCTCATATATACCTACACCTCACTGTATACCCCTATATACCTCACACCTCACTGTATACCCCTCATATATACCTATCACTGTATATACCCCATATATACCTCACTGTATACCCCCATATATACCTCACTGTATACCCCTCATATATACCTCACTGTACTGTATACCCCTCATATATACCTCACACCTCACTGTATACCCCCATATACCTACACTCACTGTATACCCCTCATATATACCTCACCCTCACTGTATACCCCTCATATATACCTCACACTGTATACCCCCATATATACCCTCACTGTATACCCCCCATATATACCTCACCCTCACTACCCTCATATATACCTCACACCACTGTATACCCCCATATATACCCTCACACCTGTATACCCCTCATATATACCACCTCACTGTATACCCCATATATACCTCACCTCACTGTATACCCCTCATATATACCTCACACCTCACTGTATACCCCCCATATATATACCTCACACCTCACTGTATACCCCTCATATATACCTCACACCTCACTGTATACCCCTCATATATACCTCACTGTATACCCCTCATATATACCTCACACCTCACTGTATACCCCTCCCATATATACCTCACACTGTATACTGTATACCCCTCATATATACCTCATACCTCACTGTATACCCCATCATATATACCTCACATATACCTCACACTGTATACCCCTCATATATACCTCACACCCCACATATATATACCTCTCATGTATACCCCTCACCCTCACTGTATACCCATACCTCACTGTATACCCACATATATACCTCATATATACCTCACTGTATACCCCTCATATACCTCACCCTCACTGTATACCCCCATATATACCTCACACCTCACTGTATACCCCTCATATATACCTCACACCTCACTGTATACCCCTCATATATACCTCACACCCTCATCTGTATACCCCTCATATATACCTCACACCTCACTGTATACCCCTCATATATACCTCACACCTCACTGTATACCCCTCATATATACCTCACACCTCACTGTATACCCCTCATATATACCTCACTGTATACCCCTCATATATACCTCACACCTCACTGTATTCCCCTCATATATATACCTCACACCTCACTGTATACCCCTCATATATACCTCACACCTCACTGTATACCCCTCATATATACCTCACTGTATACCCCTCACTCACACCTCACTGTATTCCCCAATATACCTCACACCTCACTGTATACCCCTCATATATACCTACCTCAGTGTATACACCTGTATACACCTAATATATACCTCACACCACACTGTATACCCCTCATATATACCTCACACCTCACTGTATACCCCCATATATACCTCACACCTCACTGTATACCCCTCATATATACCTCACACCTCACTGTATACCCCTCATATATACCTCACACCTCTCTGTATACCCCTCATATATACTTCAAACCTCACTGTATACCCCTCATATATACCTCACACCTCACTGTATACCCCATATATACCTCACACCTCACTGTATACCCCTCATATATATACCTCACTGTATACCCCTCATATATACCTCACACCTCACTGTATTCCCCAATATATACCTCACACCTCACTGTATACCCCTCATATATACCTCACACCTCACTGTATACCCCTCATATATACCTCACACCTCACTGTATTCCCCAATATATACCCTCACACCTCACTGTATACCCCTCATATATACCTCAGTGTATACACCTAATAGTTACATCACACCACACGTATACTCCTCATACCTCCCTTGCCTCACTGTATACCCCTCATATCTACCTCACTGTATGAGGGGTGTACAGTGTGGGGTGGGGGAGGTATGAGGGGCGTACAGTGGGGTGGGGGAGGTATGAGGGGGTACAGTGGGGCGGGGGAGGTATGAGGGGCGTACTATGAAGTGGGGGAGGTATGAGGGGCGTACGGTAAGGTGGGGGAGGTATGAGGGTTGTACGGTGAGGTGCGGGAGGTATGAGGGTGTACGGTGAGGCGGGGGGGGAGGTATGAGGGACGTACGGTGGGGGGAGGTATGAGGGGTGTACGGTGAGGTGCGGGAGGTATGAGGGTTGTACGGTGAGGTGTGGGAGGTATGATGGTTGTACGGTGAATGGTGGGAGGTAAGAGGGGTGTGCGGTGAGGTGCGGGAGGTATGAGGGTTTACGGTAAGGCGGGGGAGGTATGAGGGGTGTACGGTGAGGTGTGGGAGGTATGAGGGGTGTATGGTGAGGGCGGGAGGTATGAGGGATGTACGGTGAGGTGGGAGGGAGAGGTATGAGGTGTACAGTGAGGTATGGGGGGGGAGGTTTGAGGGGCGTACGGTAAGGTGGGGAGGTATGAGGGGCTTACGGGGGGGGGGGAGGTATGAAGGGTGTACAGAAGTGGGGGGGGGAGGTACGAGGGGTGTACAGAGGCGGGGGGGGAGGTACGAGGGGTGTACAGGCGGCGGGGGAGGTGGGGGGTGTAGGGAGGGGGGGAGGTATGAGGGGTGTACAGAGGCGGGGGGAGGTATGAGGGGTGTACAGAGGCGGGGGGGGGAGGTATGAGGGGTGTACAGAGGCGGGGGGGGGAGGTATGAAGGGTGTACAGAGGCGGGGGGAGGTATGAGGGGTGTACAGAGGCGGGGGGGGAGGTATGAGGGGTGTACAGAGGCGGGGGGGGAGGTATGAGGGGTGTACAGAGGGGGGGGGGGAGGTATGAGGGGTGTACAGAGGCGGGGGGGAGGTATGAGGAGTGTACAGAGGCGGGGGGGGAGGTATGAGGAGTGTACAGAGGCCGGGGGGGAGGTATGAGGGGTGTACAGAGGCGGGGGGGGGTAGGTATGAGGGGTGTACAGAGGCAGGGGGGGAGGTATGAGGAGTGTACAGAGGCGGGGGGGGAGGTATGAGGGGTGTACAGAGGCGGGGGGGGGAGGTATGAGGGGTGTACAGAGGCAGGGAGGGAGGTATGAGGGGTGTACAGAGGCGGGGGGGGGGGGGGAGGTATGGGGTGTACAGAGGCGGGGGGGGGGTATGAGGGGTGTACAGAGGCAGGGGGGGAGGTATGAGGAGTCTACCATTGGGGGTCACTGATTGTATTGAAGGGAAGGGCCCAAGAATGAAGGAGGATTCTGATTACATGATGTTTTGCACTGCGGCCATCACTGTACAGGAAGCTGATGATGTCACCTTCACATTGTCATATGGATGATGTCATCCCATCCCAGGCAGGTGATGACATCACTCTCTATTCTGCTTCTACTGACACAGCACAGATACAGCCAACTGTCTTCCTAGAACTACATTCCGCCCCACCGGAGGACTCCGCCCCTTCCTCTATGACTCTCCTGAAATACTCTGCTCTGCTGGAGGACTCCGCCCCTTCCTCTATAACTCTCCTCTCCTGAAATACTCTGCACTGCTGGAGGACTCCGCCCCTTCCTCTATAACTCTCCTCTCCTGAAATACTCTGCACTGCTGGAGGACTCCACTCCTTCCTCTATAACTCCTCTCCTGAAATACTCTGCACTGCTGGAGGACTCCACTCCTTCCTCTATAACTCTCCTCTCCTGAAATACTCTGCACTGCTGGAGGACTCCGCTCCTTCTTGTATTGCTTCCTCCTGGTCTGATTTTGCAAAGTGGGCGGGGAGTAGGAGGGGGCGTGGTCTGGGTAGGAAGTCATTTGTTGGGTGGTTAGAGGTGGGTTGTGGGGGGGGGGACTCTCCCGCGGGGTCCCGGTGCAGCAGATGCCGCTTCCTCCCATAGGAAATCATTGTTGTGCCGTCTCTGTGATTAGAACGTGTTGCTGGACCTGAAGTACCAGAAGCAGAATAAATCGTTCGATGGTCCCTTCCAATCCCTGAGCAGAATCCCAGCTGCCCCCCCCCCCCCCCATGTGTCATCATTGGAGGAGGAGAGGTGGAGGCAGGGAGCCGAGTCCCGGGGGAGGCCGTAGAGCCGAGGTTTGCAGGGACTTCATTCAGGAATGGGAAGGCAGTCAATATTAGAATTGTGTTTCTTCATGCGGCGTGTTCATTCTTACATACGCCCGGACGTTTCTGCTCAATACCGTCCGTATGCTCCAGTTTAATCGGCTTTTATTTATGAAAATGTTAAATAAAAACTTTCCATTGTCACTACGTACCATATTTCATACCCTGTGATGTCATCACTGGGTCTCTGTGCTCCCCTATGCAGCGCAGGCAGATCATGGCTGGTGGGAGTGGCTGTACATAGCTTCCTGGAATCATCACAGCACCCTGCCTTACTCCTCTCATGTTTCCCAGAGCAAGCAGTGGGAGGAGTTATGTAAATATTAAAAAATGCTTGGATTGCTGGAGGAGTGGGTGGTCCTAGGCAGGCTGTATTTATATAGGTAACGCCCACATGTGATGCTGAGCCTCCATGATTGACAGAACTGAAATCCAATGAATTAACAAAAGAGGCGGGGCCAGAGACAGTCAGGCTGGGGAGGAAAAACCTAGGTGATGTTGGATGTCCTCCAGCCAGGAAATGAGGCGGAGCTTTATCTGAATTGCTGCAGCTCCATCTCCATCCATCAGATTCCTCCTACCATCCCCATCCATCAGATTCCTCCTACCATCCCCGTCCATCAGATTCCTCCTACCATCCCCGTCCATCAGATTCCTCCTACCATCCCCGTCCATCAGATTCCTCCTACCATCCCCGTCCCTCAGTTACCAGCTCCTCCCTTTCAGTCTTGCACAGGTGTCCCGGCTCCTCCCCTTCAGTCTTGCACAGGTGTACCGGCTCCTCCCCTTCAGCCTTGCACAGGTGTACCGGCTCCTCCCCTTCAGTCTTGCACAGGTGTACCGGCTCCTCCCCTTCAGTCTTGCACAGGTGTACCGGCTCCTCCCCTTCAGTCTTGCACAGGTGTACTGGCTCCTCCCCTTCAGTCTTGCACAGGTGTCCCGGCTCCTCCCCTTCAGTCTTGCACAGGTGTCCCGGCTCCTCCCTTTCAGTCTTGCACAGGTGTACCGGCTCCTCCCTTTCAGTCTTGCACAGGGTGTACCGGCTCCTCCCCTTCAGTCTTGCACAGGTGTACCGGCCCTCCCCTTCAGCCTTGCACAGGTGTCCCGGCTCCTCCCCTTCAGTCTTGCACAGGTGTCCCGGCTCCTCCCCTTCAGTCTTGTACAGGTGTACTGGCTCCTCCCATTCAGTCTTGCACAGGTGTCCTGGCTCCTCCCCCTGGAATTAAATGGGTTCCTCTGATGTCACTGCACACTCAGAGCTTCTCACAATGTGCATTAGAAACTGCAGCCAGTCAGATAGAGCTCCGCCCTATTTCCTGGCTGGAGGACATCCAGCATCATCTAGCCTCCCCAGCCTGACTGTCCCTCGCTCCGCCCCTTTCATCAGTTGTTTCAATCATTAGGATCAGCATCACATGTGGGCGTTACCTAGTCTGTCTAGGACCGCCCCTACTCCTCCAGACTGACCCCCCCATCAAGGCATTTTAATGTTTGCATCGCTCCGCCCACTGCTTGTATCAAGACTAAGGGCTCTGGAGAGGAACACTGAGGCAGGTGCTTTTTTTTTTTTTTCAGGAAGCTGGCCCCTCCCATCAGCCATGATCTGCCTGCTTTGCATAGAGAAGCACAGAGACCCAGGGATGACTTCACCAGCTATAATATGCGGCATGTAATGAAAATGGAATTTTTTTACGAATCCGATTTGAATTTTCTGAATTTGGTCGAAAATTCGAATGTGAAAAGTATTGGATTGGAATTCGAATCCAGATTTATTCTAGTCGAAAATTCGGATTTGGAAGACAGTTATATTTTTTTATTCTATTCTATTGTATTTTTTCTCTACTCTGTTTTTTCTATTTTATTCTTTTCTTTTCTATTTTATTCTATTATTTTATTTTCTATTCTATTATTTTTTGTTTTTTAGATGCTATTCTATTCTATGTTCTGTTTTATGCTGTTCTATTTTTTCTATTCTTTTCTATTCTAGTTTTTTATATTTTTCTATTCTATTTGTTCTATTCTATACTTTTTCTTTCTATTCTATTCTATTATGTTTTACTCTATTATTTTATTTTCTATTCTTTTTGAATTTTAGGAAGGCAGCCTTTTATCTGCGTTATTCTATTCTGTTGTAATCTTTTCTGGTCTCTTTTACTCTATTCTTTTCTATTATGTTATTTTATTTTCTATTTTTTTTCTGTTCTATTCTATGTTCTGTTTTATGCTATTTTATTTTTTATACTCTATTCTATTCTTTTCTATTTCTTTATTTTCTATTCTGTTCTATTTCTTTATTTTCTATTCTGTTCTATTTCTTTCTATTTTATTCCATTCTATTATGTTTTACTCTATTCTATTATTTTATTTTCTATTCTATTCTTTTCGAATTTCAGAAATGTATATGTTGTATTATTTTCTATTGTAATATTTTCTGTTCTCTTTTACTCTATTCTATTCAGGTTTTTTCATTTCTATTCTATTTTACTTTTTCTATTCTATTATGTTTTTCTCTCATCTCCTATTTTATTTTTTATTCTATTTAGTTTTTTTTTTTCTATTCTATTCTGCTTTTTCTATTCTATTATGTTTTACTCTCCTCTATTATTTTATTTTCTATTATTTTCTATTCTATTCTATTTAGTTTTTTCTTTTCTATTCTTTTTTACTTTTTCTATTCTGCTTATGTTTTACTTGCCTCTATTATTTTTTTTTGTATTCTTTTCTATTCTATTTTTTTTCTATTCAATTCTTTTCTCTTTTTTTTTTTACATTCTATTCATTTCTTTTCTATGTTTTATGCTATTCTATTCTATTATGTGTTACTCTCCTCTATTATTTTATTTTATATTATATTCTTTTTGAATCTTATTCTATTCTATTGTAATCTTTCTGTTTTGTTTTACTCTATTCTTTTCTAGTCTATTCTATTCGATTTTCAATTTATTCTTTTCCATCCCGTTCCTTTATTTTTTACTCTGTTTTATTCTATTCTTGTGTTCGAATTTGATTTCAGATGAAATTTCCTCTCCTTATTTCCGATGTGTTTAAAATTTGTTGCTTTTGTCATTCGGATACATCCGAATCTCCGAAGAACGAAGAATGTGTCTGAATTTCGATTTGGAACGAATTGTCTAATTATCATGTTGTTGGGGGAGGGGGGGTTAAATTTCATCTTTATCTTTCCATATGTTCACGTGAAGATGTTCGCCCGCCGTTCCCCCTCTGTGGTTTCCTCATCTCTTCTCTCCTTCCAGGTCTCCCGGGGCGTGGCTCGTCTGCTTGTGAACCAAAGGCTCATGTGATCGGCGCCGTGGCCTTCAGTCACATGATGGAGGACGGAGCTCCGGATTGGTCAGGTAAGAGGCTGCATATGAAGTAACATGTTGCAAAGAAGGTTGCTACAATGTAGTCTTTTATTTGTTTCCATGTTGCTCAGTAATCGGCAGTGGAAAATCTCCAAACCTTCTGTTGAAGCCTCCATAGCGGGGAGGTTCGTGTGCTGCGAGGTGGGCGGAGCACGACTTACTCGCCCGGCGGCGACAATGGCGAACTTTGGGCGCTTTCAGTTATCAGATCCAGAGCGTTGCTCGTCATTGTCGCACCTGAGTTAAAGTTCTGCTCCTGGGGGGGGAGACATTTTTCCACGCACCCCTCACTTCCTGTCTGGCGCACCCCCCAGCCTAATGTGGCATCGGACCGCGGCGCTCTTCCAAAAGAAGCCTCTGCAGGTTCCATCAGGCGATGCGGGGAATGTTTCACAACCACCTTTGGTGGAAGCAGGTGAGTGGGGGGGGGAGGGGCGTTCTTCTCGGCTGCGGCTCTCGGCGCTCCTTTGAATCCCCACCTGCGCCCGCCGACAGAGACCGCGGCTCCGCAGGGACCGCCTGTTGTGCAGGACTGCTGTCTCCGGCTCGTCTCGCGGGGGATTCACGCAGCGACGCTACAAATTAACCCGCCAGGTGTTGTCCCCGCCCCCTGGGAGTGCAGCCTGGGAGCGCGCCGCGCCGCTGTGTAACCTATCCGCGGATCTCATTACATTTTTTCCTGACAATGCTGGGAGAGAACGGAGAGGATCACCCCCCCCCCCCCCCCAGTGCCCCCCCCCCCCCCAGTGCCACCCCCTCCCCCCAACAGTGCCCCCCCCCCCCACAGTGCACCGCCCATCCCAGAATTATCCCACCGAGGTATTCCCACAGCGCCTGATACTAAGGAGACTCTGTTAACTCTTGTCTGCCACAGATCAGCCCCTCACCTTGTGACTGGCTACAAAGTTACAATGTACAGTCTGATCACTGGGGGAGGAGACTGAGGAAACACCTCCTCCTCCTTCTACAAAGTTACAATGTACAGTCTGATCAAGGGGGCGGAGACCGGGGAAACACCTCCTCCTTCTACAAAGTTACAATGTACAGTCTGATCACTGGGGGAGGAGACTGAGGAAACGCCTCCTCCTCCTTCTACAAAGTTACAATGTACAGTCTGATCACTGGGGGAGGAGACTGAGGAAATGCCTCCTCCTCCTTCTACAAAGTTACAATGTACAGTCTGATCACTGGGGGAGGAGACTGAGGAAATGACTCCTCCTCCTTCTACAAAGTTACAATGTACAGTCTGATCACTGGGGGAGGAGACTGAGGAAATGACTCCTCCTCCTTCTACAAAGTTACAATGTACAGTCTGATCAAGGGGGAGGAGACTGAGGAAACACCTCCTCCTCCTTCTACAAAGTTACAATGTACAGTCTGATCAAGGGGGAGGAGACCGGGGAAACACCTCCTCCTTCTACAAAGTTACAATGTACAGTCTGATCACTGGGGGAGGAGACTGAGGAAACGCCTCCTCCTCCTTCTACAAAGTTACAATGTACAGTCTGATCACTGGGGGAGGGGAGACTGAGGAAATTACTCCTCCTCCTTCTACAAAGTTACAATGTACAGTCTGATCACTGGGGGAGGAGACTGAGGAAATGACTCCTCCTCCTTCTACAAAGTTACAATGTACAGTCTGATCAAGGGGGAGGAGACTGAGGAAACACCTCCTCCTCCTCCTACAAAGTTACAATGTTCAGTCTGATCACTGGGGGAGGGGACTGAGGAAATGTCTCCTCCTCCTTCTACAAACTTTTTTTTTTTACTTATATATAAAAAATATTAAGAACAAAAATCAACTATAAATAAAAATCAATGAATAAAAATAGCTTATAAATGCTGGAAAAGTTATAAATAATCTAAAATATATATATATACATACAGACACGCTGTATATGTACATTTTTTTTACCCTTCTCTTTTGCAATTTTATTTGTTTTTAAAATAAAGTATTTTGTTTTTTTAAAAATAATTTGCTGTTTTATTTAATAATATATATTTAGATATTTACTGTATAATTTATGTATTTATTTTGCATTTAAAAAAAAAAAAACTTTTTATTTTTAACTAATTTTATTTTAAATTTTATATTTTGATATTTAAATACATTATTCATATTTACATTTATATGTGTTTTCTGCTATATTATTTATTTTTACTTTTTTTTTTTTTGATGTTACACTGTTTTTCTTTATGTATTTATTATTTGAGACTTTTTCTTGATGTATTTATTTTCTATATTACAATATTTATTGTCTTCCGTGTCAGGGAACAGTTCCTGTAGAACAATGCGGAGTCCGTAGACGCTACGGCGTGTGTGAGGCGATTAGGCGTCTGGCGCGGCGGTGTAAACGTAAGGAGGTTAATGAATGGTAAGTGCCGTCTCTGCGGGTTGGCGGTCATGTGATTACGCTGAGCGCGGCGCATGCTGAGGGGACGGGATTGTTAGCCCAGCGGCTGAGCGATGGTTATGTAGGGCAGAAGAAGCTCCCTGCGGGAGAGTCGCCGCGTCTGCCTCTCTGGTGGCTGTCTAGACGGTAATTGGCACCCCTGAGGAAGAGCGCGCAGCGTTCCCCCATCACCCGACTCTCCTGGAAGGCGGGCCAACCGATTGTTATATCTGACCCCCATCCTCTAGGTGTATGGCTCCTCCCCTTCAGTCTTGCACAGGTGTACTGGCTCCTCCCCTTCAGTCTTGCACAGGTGTACCGGCTCCTCCCCTTCAGTCTTGCACAGGTGTACCGGCTACCGGCTCCCTCCCCTTCAGTCTTGCACAGGTGTACCGGCTCCTCCCCTTCAGTCTTGCACAGGTGTACTGGCTCCTCCCCTTCAATCTTGCACAGGTGTACTGGCTACCGGCTCCTCCCCTTCAGTCTTGCACAGGTGTTCCGGCTCCTCCCCTTCAGTCTTGCACAGGTGTACCGGCTCCTCCCCTTCAGTATTGCACAGGTGTACTGGCTCCTCCCCTTCAGTCTTGCACAGGTCTTGCACAGGTGTACCAGCTCCTCCCCTTCAGTCTTGCACAGGTGTAACGGCTCCTCCCCTTCAGTTTTGCACAGGTGTAACGGCTCCTCCCCTTCAGTCTTGCACAGGTGTACCGGCTCCTCCCCTTCAGTCTTGCACAGGTGTACCTGCTCCTCCCCTTCAGTCTTGCACAGGTGTACCAGCTCCTCCCCTTCAGTCTTGCACAGGTGTACTGGCTCCTCCCCTTCCGTCTTGCACAGGTGTACTGGCTCCTCCCCATCAGTCTTGCACAGGTGTACCGGCTCCTCCCCTTCAGTCTTGCACAGGTGTACCAGCTCCTCCCCTTCAGTCTTGCACAGGTGTACCGGCTCCTCCCCTTCAGTCTTGCACAGGTGTGCCGGCTCCTCCCCTTCAGTCTTGCACAGGTGTGACGGCTCCTCCCCTTCAGTCTTGCACAGGTGTACTGGCTCCTCCCCTTCAGTCTTGCATAGGTGTACCCATCCATCAGATTCCTCCTACCATCCCCGTCCACAGATTCCTCCTATCCCCGTCCATCAGATTCCTCCTACCATCCCCGTCCATCAGATTCGTCCTACCATCCCCGTCCCTCAGTTACCAGCTCCTCCCTTTCAGTCTTGCACAGGTGTACCGGCTCCCTCCTTGCACAGGTTCCCCTTCAGTCTTGCATAGGTGTACCGGCTCCTCCCCTTCAGTCTTGCACAGGTGTAGCGGCTCCTCCCCTTCAGTCTTGCACAGGTGTGCCGGCTCCTCCCCTTCAGTCTTGCACAGGTGTGACGGCTCCTCCCCTTCAGTCTTTCACAGGTGTCCCGGCTCCTCCTCCTGGAATGAATCGTCTTCCTCTGATGTCACCGCACACTGGGAGCCCCTCACAATGTGCATTAGAAGCTGCAGCCAGTCATATAGAGCTCCGCCTCATTTCCGGGCTGGAGGACGTCCAACATCATCTAGCATTTCCTCCTCAGCATGACTGTCTGGCCCTGCCCCTTTCATCAGTTCTTTCAATCGGGTAGGCTCAGCGTCACCTGTGTGTGTTAACTATGCAAATACATTTTGCCTAGGACCGCCCCCACTCCTCCAGACTGACACCCGCCCATCAAGGCATTTTGATATTTGCATAACTCCTCCCTCTGCTTGCATCAGTACTGAGGGCTCTGGAGAGAAGGACTGAGGCAGGGTACTGCAATGTTTTTCAGAAAGCTATGTACTGGCCCCTCCCACCAGCCATGATCCTCCTGCACCGCATAGAGAATCACAGATGCCCAGTGATGACATCACAGGGTATGACACAATGTAGGAATTTGGAGGAGGGTGAGGTATAAGACACCCCTGGGTTGTTCGGGGTCACTGCGTAGTCACCCGCCGCCCTTGTTTTTGGGCGGCGTTTACAGGGTTAAATCAGGCAGCGAAGAGGCATCCTTTCACCTCCTCCCTGTCTGTCTGAAAAACGATCCACCGCAGATCCCTCTTCAGAGGGGGGCGGCAAAGGAAGCGGAGTGAAGGAGTCCTGCCTATTTTTCACGTTGCCGCGTGCTGGTTTTGGGTGCGGCCAGGCAATTAGCATCTTCAGAACGGCAGCCCCATATCTATTCCACAGGACAGGTGCCCTTTAAATGTGATCCACGGCTCCCAGTGCTAGGGAATGTCTTGCTGATCCCAGCTCTGGGGGGAGGGGGGGTCGGTCAGTGGCGGGATCATAGGGGGCGTCCCCCCCCCCGGCGCCCCCCCCCCCTTCTAGAAAAGGGGCCCCCCCAGTTCGGATTCTGCCTAGCAGCATCCCGGGTCTGTGGATCCGCCACGCCCCCCTTCCTCCAGCAGCACGAGGAGCTTTCAATGCAGAGGTCCGTCCGCGCTCCCACGTGTGCCCCCCAACCCCCCCATCCTTTTTGAGCTCTGTGATCCCCCCCCCATTGGCCTGCTTCAGCCGGAGACACCCCCCCATCCCGTTCACCGCCACCCCCCCACCCCAAAAAACTGACTGCAGCAGCGTTGAGAACAAAGGGTGCCGGCGGCCATGTTGTCGTATCCCCGAAGAGTCAGCGCCATGCTTGTGCCAGAACTTTTAACCCCTGGTGGCCCAGGGAGGGCGGCGGTGAGGGGGGCCCCGGCCACCCCATTTTACTGACGAGAAGGGGGGGGTCCATTAAAAAAAAAAGGAACCTCTTTTTCCCCCGACGGTGGATGGAGGGGGGGGGGGATCCCCGGCAATTTTACTGACCCCTCTTTTTCTGGATTAACCCCCGACGGTGAGGGGAGTGGAGGGGGGGGATCCCCGGCCTCCCCATCCCCATTAAAAAAAAAGGAACCTCATTTTCTGGAATAACCCCCGACGGTGAGGGGGAGTGGAGGGGGGGGATCCCCGGCCTCCCCATTTTACTGACAAGAAGGGGGGGGGGTCCATTAAAAAAAAAGGAACCTCATTTTCTGGAATAACCCCCGCTGTGCTGGAAGGGTTGGCTCTTTTAACTGCGAGCACGCGAGAATGGCGAGCCGTCACACCCCCCCCCCCCCGCGGCACTTCTCCTGACACGCCGCTGTCAGGAAGTCACCCGATCGGGCGCTGCGATTGGCCGCCGCTTATCTCATAGATTACTACATTTGTGCTATGATCTCATAGCCCGCCGCGTCTGCCTTCCCCCCGGAGGGGTGGGGGGCGGGGCAGGGACTCCCAGTCTCCTAATAACTGATAATCAATACATCTGATCCCTTTTTCCCGCAGCGCCTAACAAGCCTGCCAGATGGTCGGGGATAATTGCCGCCACCTGAGCCTCCATCTATTCATGTTTGCTGCCCCCCCCCATTGCATTGTGGGCTTTGTAGTCGGCGTCCCTCCCTCTGTGGGTGCTTAACAAACAAACCCCCCCCCCTCCCCCGTGCCACTGGGCAGGAGGTATTGACTTTAACCAGGGCGGGCTTCTTAAAGGGTGACTCCACCCCAAACTGATGTTAGTAGATGAGAGTTACCCCCCGGGAGCATCCACACAGGACATATTGACCTTAACCAGGGCGGGGCGGGCTTCTTAAAGGGCGACTCCACCCCAAACTGGTCTTAGTAGATGAGAGTTACCCCCCCCCCCCCCCCGGGTGCCTCCGGACAAGAGGTATTGACCTTAACCTGGGCGGGGGCAAGCTTCTTAAAGGGTGACTCCACCCCAAACTGATGTTAGTAGATGAGAGTTACCCCCCCCAGGTGCCTCTGGACAGGAGGTATTGACCTTAACCAGGGCGGGGCAGGCTTCTTAAAGGGCGAACCAGGGCGGGGCAGGCTTCTTAAAGGGCGACTCCACCCCAAACTGATCTTAATAGATGAGAGTTACCCCCCCGGGTGCCACCGGACCAGGGGCAGACTGACAACTCATGGGGCCCCCCCCCCCGGCAATAGGGGATCATGGGGCCCCTGTGTCCTTGCCCAAACTAAAAAGCCCCTTACTGACCCCCCGAGGGTGGCCCTCGGGCAGTGCCTGAGTTTCCCAATGGTCAGTCCGCCCCCACACCAGACAAGAGGTATTGACCTTAACCAGGGCAGGGCAAGCTTCTTAAAGGGTGACTCCACCCCAAACTGATCTTAGTAGATGAGAGCTAACCCCCCCCCCCCCCCCGACAGTTTTTTTCTCTCTCAGGGCCTCTATTGGGGTGCCCGTAGTTCCCGGGACTGTTGCAAAGGGGTTCCCATCATAAGCAGTAGGGACACCCCCAGAGGTGGGCGCGAACAGTGTTGGAAATTGATATTATGTAGGTTTATCCATGGCCTTGTCCCCTAATGCCCAAACGTAGGGCCATTCCCCGGGCAGGGGGTGTCCGCAGCGCCCCCCATAGCCTGTGAGTGCATAGGCATCCTATCTTATCTAGAGCTCCACCTCATTTCCTGGCTGGAGGACACCCAGCATCAAGTAGCTCAATGTAACCAATGTAAGGGACATTCTTCCCACTGACCCCACAATGTAAGGGACATTCTTCCCACTGACCCCCAATGTAAGGGACATTCTTCCCCACTGACCCCCAATGTAAGGGACATTCTTCCCACTGACCCCCCAATGTAAGGGACATTCCTTCCCACTGACCCCCAATGTAAGGGGACATTCTTCCCACTGACCCCCAATGTAAGGGACATTCTTCCCACTGACCACCAATGTAAGGGACATTCTTCCCACTGACCACCAATGTAAGGGACGTTCTTCCTACTGACCACCAATGTAAGGGACATTCCTTACCACTGATCACCAATGTAAGGGACATTCTTCCCACTGACCACCAATGTAAGGGACATTCTTCCCACTGATTTTTCCCCAATGTAAGGGACATTCTTCCCACTGACCCCCAATGTAAGGGACATTCTTCCCACTGACCCCCAATGTAAGGGACGTTCTTCCCCACTGACCACCAATGTAAGGGACATTCTTCCCACTGATCACCAATGTAAGGGACGTTCTTCCCACTGACCACCAATGTAAGGGACATTCTTCCCACTGACCACCAATGTAAGGGACATTCTTCCCACTGACCCCCAATGTAAGGGACATTCTTTCCCACTGACCCCCAATGTAAGGGATATTCTTCCCACTGACCCCCAATGTAAGGGACATTCTTCCCACTGATCCCCAATGTAAGGGACATTCTTCCCACTGACCACCAATGTAAGGAACATTCTACGTTAAGGAACATATAAGTACAAGAAGGGTTTTCCCTAAGAAGTTGCCTAAGATATTCCGAGGGTTCCTCAGGTTTAGAGGGGTGAGAAAAGCTGAGTAACAAACATTAACAGAAAAAAAACAAATCCTGACCATATACGGGGGGTTCGCTCTCCAGTTTAAATCTGAAATAATACTGCGAGCCAGTTCTGCAATTTGGTTTAAATTACACAGTAGAGGTCACATTAGTACGAGTCACGCAGAGGATGATGGAGCGCGCAGAGACGTGTCGTCGGGCAAGGCGTGAAAGTGTTGTCTCCAGTGCACATAGAGCGCTGCCTTCTATTGAGGTTCAAGACATTTAGACTCGCATTAAAGGCGCTCTCTGCTGCAACCCGAGCTGCGATTCGCCCTTCTCTGGCAGATGTGGCTTATTAAGCATTGGGGGATACTATGATCAATTTCTGTAGGGAATATGTAGAATCCAAAGTGTGCAGGTAGAACCTGCTTGTAAGGGGAAGAAACAGCAATATTTCAAGTATGTTTGCTGTTCCAGAACTTGGTGAAGGCACTTCTAGAACTTGGTGAAGGCACTTCTAGAACTTGGTGAAGGCACTTCTAGAACTTGGTGAAGGCACTTCTAGAACTTGGTGAAGGCACTTCTAGAACTTGGTGAAGGCACGTCCAGAACATGGTGAAGGCACGTCCAGAACATGGTGAAGGCACTGAAGGACTTGGTGAAGGCACTTCTAGAACTTGGTGAAGGCACTTCTAGAACTTGGTGAAGGCACTTCTAGAACTTGGTGAGGGCACTTCCAGAACTTGGTGAAGGCACATCTAGAACTTGGTGAAGGCACTTCTAGAACTTGGTGAAGGCACTTCCAGAACTTCTAAGAACTTGGTGAAGGCACTAGTCCAGAACATGGTGAAGGCATCAACTGAGCACCCCCTCCTTATGTATTTGTGCTGCTGAAAAATAAAATAAACATTCACAAAGAGGAGGGTGCAAAGGATGTTGTCTGTGAATGATGTCTGTCAGCCCTAAGTCAAGATATGATAACTGGGAGGGTTCCCTGAGCAACACTTGGGTTGTAGGTGTATTCTTCACAGGCTGACAAACAGTTTGCTAGATTATATGGCCAAAATTGTGGATACCTGACCATCACGCCTACCTTATTTGGCCAAAACTTGTGGACACCCCACCAAATTATGGAGTTCAGGTGCTCCCAGTGAACATTGTACAAAGACATTGTAGACCATTGTGCTCATTCAATCTTGTGATAACAGTTTGGTGAAGGCCCTTTTCTGTTCCACCATGACTGTGCCTCTCTGTACAGCTCCATAAAGACATGGTTTGACCAGTTTAGCGTGGAGGAACTTGAGTGTCCTGCACAGAGCCCTGACCTCAACCCTACTGAACACCTTTGGAATGAATTGCAACTCTGACTGGGAGCCTCGTCTTCTCACCCAACATCAGGCCTGCTACAAACTGATACACTATTTGGCCAAAGGATGAGGACACTTCTCCAGATTGAGTCCAGGTTTGTGAAGTTGAGGGTTACATCATACAAAGTACATTATAGACATCTGTGGTCTTTCAACTTTGCGGTAACAATTTTGGGGTAGACCTATTTCTTTTCCAGCAAGACTGTGCCCCTGTGTACAAAGCCAGTTCCAAAAAAGACATGGTTGGACCAGTTTGGTATGGAGGAACTTGAATGTCCTGCAGAGAGCCCTGAACTCTACCAATAATGGTGTTATCCAACTCCAAACCGATACACTATATGGCCCAAAGGATTTGGACGCTTCTCCGGATTGAGTTCAGATGTGCAAAGTGAAGGAATCTGTTGGAACACAAATGGCGAGCCGGTCTTCTCACCCAAAATCAGTCCTGTCCATGGAGGCTCATGAATAAAGAGTTCTACCAATAATGGGGTCTTCCAACTACAAACTGATACACTCTATGGCCCAAAGAATGTGGACAATTCTCCAGATTGAGTTCAGGTGTATGAAATGAAGAGTTATGTTAATAATCCATAATAAAAAGACATTGCAGACAATTGTGCTCCTCTAACCTTGTGGTAACAGCTTGATGAAGGTCTTTTTCTGTTCCACCATGACTGTGCCCGTGTACAAAGCCAGCTTCATAAAGACATGGTTTGACCAGTGTGGTTTGGAGGAACTGGAGTGTCCTGTCCAGAACATTTACCTCAACCCATGTTGAACACGTTTGGGATGATTGTGAGCCAGGTCTTTTATCCAACATCAGTCCAGTCCTTGGAGGCTCATGATTAAAGAACTCTACAAATTATGGTAGTGGGGGTCATCTGACTCCAAACTGATGCACTTTGTGGCCCAAAGGATGTAGATGCTCCTCCGGGTTGAGTTCAGGTGTCTCCAGTGAAGGGTTCATCATAAAAAGACATTGCAGACAATCATACTCTTCCAACCTTGTAGTAGCAGTTTGGTGAAGACCCTTTTATGTTCCAGCATGACTGTGCTCCTGTGTACAAAGCCAGCTCCATAAAGACATGGTTTGGCCAGTTTGGTGTGGAGGAACTCGAATCGATCCAAATTCATTATGAAGAATAGCTTCATAATGCTGTCTGACTCACGGTTTACTCCTCTTCCTCTCAGTCTCTACGGTGGTTAGCAGGAAGCTAAAATAAACACAGATTTAGGTACTTTAAAAATACACTATATTGCCCCAAGTATTGGGCACTGGCCTTTCCACACACATGAACTTTAATGGCCTCCCAGTCTTTGTCCGTAGGGTTCAATATTGAGTTGGTCGGTCTTTCCATGGACATGACCTTTAATGGCCCCCCAGTCTTAGTCCGTAGGGTTCAGCATTGAGTTGGCCCCGCCCTTTCCACGCACATGGCCTTTAATGGCCTCCCAGTCTTAGTCCGTAGGGTTCAATATTGAGTTGGTCGGTCTTTCCACATACATGACCTTTAATGGCCCCCCAGTCTTAGTCCATAGGGTTCAATATTGAGTTGGCCCCGCCCTTTGCAGCTATAACAGCTTCAACTCTTCTGGGAAGGCCGTCCACAAGGTTTAGGAGGGTGTCTATGGGAAGGTTGGACCATTTTTCCAGAAGCACATTTGTCAGGTCAGGCACTGATGTCAGGGGAGGAGGCCTGGCTCGCAGTCTCCGCTCTAATTCATCCCAAAGGTGTTCTATGGGGTTGAGGTCAGGACTCTGTGCAGGACAGTCAAGTTCCTCCACCCCAAACTGGCTCCTCCATGTCTTTATGGACCTTGCTTTGTGCAGTGGTGGGCAGTCATGTTGGATCAGGAAGGGGCCATCCCCAAACTCTTCCCACAAATTTGGGAGCATGAAATTGTCCAAAATGTCGCCTTAAGCGTTCCCTTCACTGGAACTAGGGGGCTAAGCCCAACCCCTGAAAAACAACCCCACACCATAATCCCCCCTCCACCAAACTTTACACTTGGCACAATGCAGTCACGCAAGTACCGTTCTCCTGGCCACCACCAAACCCAGACACGTCCATCGGATTGCCAGACAGAGAAGCGTGATTGGTCCCTCCAGAGGACACGCCTCCTCTGCTCTAGAGTCCAGTGGTGGCGTGCTTTACACCACGGCATCCAACACTTTGCATTGCACTTGGTGATGGAAGGCTTGGATGCAGCTGCTCGGCCATGGAAACCCATTCCATGAAGCTCTCTACGCACTGTTGTTGGGCTCATCTGAAGTTCACACCAAGTTTGGAGGTCTTTAGCTATTGACTCTGCAGACAGTTGGCGACTTCTACGCACTGTGCGCTTCAGCATGGCTGACCCCGCCCTGTCATGTGACGTGGCCTACCACTTGGTGGCTGAGTGGCTGTTGTTCCCAGTTGCTTCCACTTTGTTATAATCCCACTAACAGTTGAGCGTGGAATATTTAGTAGTCAGGAAATGTCACGGATGGACTTATTGCACAGGTGGCCACCTATCACGGGACCACGGGGAGAGCGACCCATTCTTTCACCAATGTTTGTAAAAGCAGTCTGCATGCCTAGGGGCTTGACTGTATACACCTGTGTCCATGGAGGGGATTGGAACACCTGAATCACATGATTGGGAGAGGATTGGAACACCTGAATCACATGATATGGAGGGGATTGGAACACCTGAATCACATGATATGGAGGGGATTGGAACACCTGAATCACATGATTTTGAGGTCGGGCCCGATACGTCTGGCAATATAGTGTTCATTTACACCCCATTCACAGTCGCACCCTATTGTCCACAATTGGAGCGGTCATATCGGTGCGGCTCCAACCATTTCTAAAGCAGTACATGCACTACTTTTGGTGCGATTTACATAGACCTCTGTATCAGATGTCTTGCAAATCGCACCTGAAATTGGCGGGTCCCCGACTTTCAAATCGTGCGACTTCAATGTAAGTCGCACGATTTCATGATGTGCTTGATGTGAACGGGGACTAAAGGGTCTCTTGTATAGTCTGCCTTGAGTTCAGCTTTAAAACCCGTTCTCCTCCATGAACTCTTGTCCTCTTTCTCTCCCTCTCTCTCCAGCCCCAGGGATGCAAATTTCGGCAAGTTGAAATGATCTACGTGCCGATTGGCCCCTCTGTACCCTTTAATGTCATGGTAGGGGCAGGTTATGAACTTTGCCCAAGGCCAACGATTGCCCCTTAATTCACCAACCGGAGGGAAGCCGCTTCCTAAGAAACCGTAAGTGGCGGCAGCCTTTTGCCGATAAACGTTTTTTGGAACAATTTAATTCTTGAGAGCTCAGATCTACATATATAGAACATACACGACATGGACATGTCTACCATCACCTATAGAAAGCCTCTATATAGGAGCTCCAGAGACCAGTGAGCTGGAAAATGCAGTCACTGCGAGGAGAGCTGCTAATAAATTGGGAGCAGTGAACTGGGCCGGGTTTGGGTAATGGAAGGTTCAGCAAACCCGGTGGGAAGTCTGCGGACCCTGAACTTAGTGCCGAACCCCTCGGGAGGTGAAACTAGGTATTTCT